ACAGTAGTTTTGACAAAATGGTTTCTACAACTATCTCAAAGACTCAACCTGCAAACGAAGTCCGAAGAAAAGACTAATAGTAGAAGGTTTTTGGATAAGTGCGAGCAAATTGTGGCTGTCACAACCCAACTTGTAGCAATCCTAAAGACTGTTGATTCTAATGTCAAGCCTGCCATGATTCATAAATGAAGCAGTGGACCACGCAAAGTAAGCCATACGAGCAAGTTGCGATTCGCCAAACACTACAAGAAAGTTTGAGACATCATCGATGACATGTGAGCTAACACACTGCAACGCCCAATCCAAGTAGCAACTTTCAATTTCAGTTTCATTATATAAGATATAATTTGTGATTTATGTGCCTTGCGGGTTGTAGCCTATTTGCTCCTATCTTTGATATAATGATAACTATATATTCAGTTTCTTCTTAAATCTTACATGCCACAATCAAACCAAGTCAAAGCCAGCACCCTAAGATCATGGAAGGGGTGAAGTGCTGGATTGGAAGATTAGTGCGAGATGATATAGCCCAAATTGAAATTTTGTAAGAGGTAAACATTCGTTTCATTTGTATTTTGTAAATTGAAAGTGTGAACCAGTAATGATCCTTAGTTTGTTGTATTTTTAAAATTCAAAATGTATACTTTGTTAATTTTGTTTGCTTGTATATGGATGCATAAGGAGATTTTAGGTCTAATCTCGTGAGAAGAAGTGGCTCATAGCTAGAGCCAGGTTGCCTTCCAAATTCTTGAAAGCCACAACTCATACAGCATTATACTAGAACTAATCTATGATTCTATTCCATTGTATTGTGATATGTGACTGTACTCATATTGACTAATTTGTCTTCTCATTTCAACAAAATGGTTGGAGATATATGGAAGCGACACCACTCACTTGAAAAGGATCAGAATTAGGATCATCAACCAAAGATGTTCCACCATAGGTATGAGAGAAATTGGAGTACATTCTAGTGGATCCACACACCAGTGAACAACAAATCAAGAAAAAGGAGGCTCCACAAACTTGTTACCCACACTAGTATTTGATTCTAAGGAAGAGGCAGCTGAGGAGCGAAGTCCAAAACGATAACTGAATCAATCTCAACTATATATTTGAGGAAGATCCTACAGAGGAATGGCTAGTGGAGCAAGAGGAACTAATTACGAATTCTCCTTCTAACAGGAAGATCTGAAGGGGATTCTTTCTTTGTCCACTTTGATTATGTCCTCCCTAGCAAGTCGATCGATCTCAATTTTCCCCCGAAGTACCATGTTCTAGGGGGAGATGGAGGAGGATTTTCAAAACCCAAGATGTTCCACAATAGATATGAGAGAAATTGGAGTACATTCTAGTGGATCCACTCACCAGTGAACAAGAAGTCAAGAAACAGGAGGCTCCACAAACTTGTTACCCGCACTACTATTTGATTCTAAGGAAGAGGCAGCTGAGGAGGGAAGTCCAAAACTATAACTGAATTAATCTCAACTATATATTTGAGGAAGATCCTATAGAGGAATGGCTAGTGGAGCAAGAAGAACTAATCACAAACAAGAAGGTCCTTGAAAAAAAGTTGGTCCAGAGCTTGCGGAGGAAGGAGAGGGAAGTGTGCTGAGAAGACTCAACTAGAGGATGATGGGCAAGATGACGAGGGCTCTGATCACAATGAAGAAAATGGTGATGGCAACTACCAAGGGAAAGGAGTTGAGCAATAAGGCCCAGGCGGTGGTAAGCATGAGGGTTTGACTAGCCTTGGTTATAATAGACTAGGGGCTCTCTCGCAATCACATAGTTGTCAGGGATCACTACAGAGACATCCGAGATTTTGACCCTCCACATTCCCATGGATTGTAGAGAAATAGGCCAATGTTTACGATTGGAGTGCTTTTTTTTTTTTTTTTTTTGCCCAGTATGTCTCTACTCTATCTTTAACTCCTTGTTACTATTTGACAATGACTCTACAGCCACACATTTGTATGTTGTGTACATAATTGTTGGAACTTAATATTGTTTATATCAATTCTTTAATATGAAGTGGGAATGTGGAAATCATTGGATTATCATATAATTTATTTGAGCATATGAAATGAAAACAGCTTTTCATAATTTTTCATTTTGTATATAAGTTTTCTTTATTTTTTTATTTTTTATGTTTTTTAAAAACCACACTTGTTTTTAAATATTTGTAATAAAAAACCCAATTTTATTTTTCTATTTTACCTTGTTTACCCCATTTATGAAGTATTTTTAAAATAAAAAATTGAATAATGTGGTGTTGGGTGACATGTGTCCCATTGGGCAACATGTGGCCAATCTCCGGTAACCCATGTAAATCTACGCTACAGCTAAAACCAGGAAATTCATCAAACATATGGCATGAGCTTTCAACAACGAATCTTAACTGTATTGTTCTATGCCCAAATCAGTCATAATACTTTGATGAAAATTTCAAGATCATGCATTCAAGATCCCAATTCCTCCAATGTTTAGGAAATCAAGTTTCAATAGAAAATATACTCATGCAAACATATACATACATTGGATCCAAAATTGAAGTCCAGCAAGCATAATAGGAATTAAGGACAATGAACTCCTATTCTCACAACAAATAATTTTTCAACAAAATTAGAATTTCTATCCAATATATAAGTGTAATGGGTTTTTAACCAACAATGTTCTCCTTGCTCATGCAATTATTTCCCAACTTCAAATAGCATCCAATCACAATACAGATAGAGAACAAATACAACCAACACAGTCACTAGTTTTGGAGGAGTTAGCAAGCCCTTCGATTGGATCGTCGAAGTAGAGAATGAATGGCCTGGAAAATAAAATTAAAGAGCAATAGAGAGAGAAAATATAATAAAGAAGGGCAATGGGAAGACAGTATAGAGCACCTCTGATGGTCATAGGGTTGTCATTGGAGTAAGGCATATCCCTATAGCTCAGCTCACAAGGAAGTAAGAGTGAGAAAGAGAGAAAGAGAGAGAGAGAGAGAGAGAGAGAGAGAAGTTTTTGATAGTAGAGAGCTTGTGTAGGTGTTTTACTCTCTCCAAAAACCCTCCACATGTGAAGCTACAGAGAGTAAAAACAGAAAGTAAAATGGACATGTGTTGTAATAGGGGCCATGGTTAACCCATGCTAAGCACACGTCACCCATCCCACATTATTTAAAACTTTCGTTTTAAAATACAAAAGGAAAATAGAAAAAGAAAAGTGGGGCCCTTTTTTGCATATATTTAGAAACACTCTTTTTAGGTAGCATTGACCCACTTGCTTCAAATATTGTATAGTAAAGCTTTTAGTAGCTCTATGCATAAGTTGTTTGAATTGTACATCCACAAGCAACAATTGTCATGCTCATCAATTGTCATGACGTATCGATCACAAACTTTCTCATGCTCATCAATTGTCATGACATGTTGTGTGATCATGAAGATCACAGCCATGCTCCATTGCTCCTATATTGCGATCTCTCTCTCTCGCTAGTGTGCTCTGAAATGCATCGGACACAAACAACAAACAATATTCATCACTTCAAGGAATAGATCTTTGCCACCTGAATAGGTGGATGACCATCAATACAGTGAGCCATTACATGATCTCATAGGAATTCTCAGACTGTTCAAGTTAGCCATTGCTGAGTGGATATCTAAATCTATCATGACCGAGTTACTAGAGGTCATGCTCAACGAGCCATGCCATACGTAATTATTGAATCTAGTCCACCCAATGCAGATGTCGGAGTCCATAAAACATGCTAGCTGGAGGTCATGCTCAATGTATAACTGAGTGTTTTTATTTCCCCTTTTAGAGGTTTTTTTTTTTTTTTTTCTGTGTGGCCAATTTTGCTTGACTTAGGAAATACTAGAGAAGCTCACTTGAGGACTTGCCAGGTGCACAGCCCTAGGCACCCAACTAGTCCCAGAACGAGTCCAGGTTTTTATAACATTGTGAGAGGAATCAAAATTACGGAAAATTTAGGGCCCATTGATCTTTTGAGTGAAAGTCACAACTTTGGGATCACTAGGAAATAGAAAAGACCAAAAGATGAGAAAATAAAATAAAATATGTGATATTAGAGAGAAATATATGTTCCATGAATATTTCATACCAAACAGTACAAATTATCGCATAAAGAAGAGCCATGATAAATCAGCAAAGGAAAAAAAAAATTGCCAGCTCTTGATTTCCCACACATTAATGACCACAATTGGGATGCTGTACAGAGCTAAAATCAATTCAAAGTGAATAAAATTACTATATAGAGGGAACAAAAAATACAACCAGTAGTCAAATGGACATCTCAGAGTGTCGCTAAAACAAGAGAGAGATTGGCTTTCGAGGGATGGGCAAATCAATACTAGCAACCAAGCTATATCTTCTTATAGGAGCATTGGAGGAGAGATTCAATGGTGTATCAATTTTAATTTTCTCATCTGGCATTGATATTAATGAATCAATTAAAATGAAACAAGAAAAAGGATTACCCCTTTGCCGCAATCAAGTTAATGTCCCTAGACAATTTGGGGCAACAACAAAACCAGAAATAAGAAACATTGTCCATTGAATAATGTCGAGGCTTCAAAAGAAATAAGGAACATTGTCCACTGAATAATGTCGAGGCTTCAAATCAGCAAAATGTAACATTTCAAAGAGAGCTTTACCGCCCATTGCTTTGACAAATTGGTGGACGTATTTTGATAATGATTTACCAATGAACGAGAATATATTACTTGTATAGAGGATGGAACTTCAATTAAACAAAATGGCATGATGCTTGCCTAATTGAACAGTGTGATATAAGACGGAAACCGTAAAACCTCAATCAAATTTCACAGATAGAGACACTGCTTCCAGAGAGAGAGAGAGAGAGATTAACATGGTAGTCGATGTATGGATTCAGCCCTAACTGAGATTTTGTCAAAAGCTTACAACAACTAAGTTTAAGATATGATAAATGAACAGATTAAAATGGTGGAGAAGAGAGAGAGAGAGACCTCTTTGCCGTGATGGAGGCATTCAAGGTAGTCTTCTCTGAGGAGGGCGCAGTCTTTGGGTTCTCTGCAACGAGACATGCACTCGCTGAAATCCGTCCAGAAATCGTAGCATCGGCCCTTGTTCCCAGTGATGCCCCATCCTGAAGCCATTCCTCTCTCTCTAGAAATCCCAAACACCCCACCCTCGCCGCTTTTCTCTCACTCTCTGAGCCCCCCTTCTTGTATGATGCCGTCTGACCTCGTCTTCTCAAAACCAACGCGCTCCTGCTCGGTATACGCCGCTCGTGAGATTCATGGCAGCGAAGGTATACATCTAAAAAAAACACCAAAAAAAAAACAATTATATATATTTTTATTGTAGTATTATTTAAGAAAATTATCGCCAATCTATTTATATTTTAAAAAAATCAAAAAAAAAACCTTAAAAACCCTTTTTCTCCACTCTCCGGTTTTTTTGGACGAAATTATTTTTTACGGTAGACTATTTACCGTAATATATTGAGGCTTTTACAGTAATTTAAATATCATTAAAATTTGATAATGTATTAAGGTATTTAAAATACCATAATAAAATAAAGTTACATTAAAGTACCGTAATAAGCTTCTTTTTTTTTTTTTTTTATTGGTATTAATTTACCGTAACGGTTTTGAAGGGTTATCACGGCACTTGAACTGCCGTAATCATTTGGCTCCTTCTAACAACACGAAAAGCCCCATTCTTCTTTCACATGCTTTCGTTACCGAGTGAAGACCACAGCAAAAAATCAGAGCCTCTATGCACCAGTAGCAATTTCAGGAATCCATAGGAACAAAAAAAACTAACTCGCGAAATCACTTGATCCACTCTAAAATCTCTCTCTCTCTAAATAAACCCAACTAATGCAAGAGAAAGACTGAAATTACACCATTTATAAGTAAGCCAACCTGAACCAGGCAAAAGAAAGTAGAGAGAGAAAAACTTAAACTTAAACTATTGAATTGAGTGAAAGAAAGTAGAGAGAGAAACTAAAACTTAAACTATTGAATTGAGTGAATTGACTTGGAACAGTTGCTTAAGTAAGATCTTTTGAATGGGAAAAACAAAATTCTAGAGAGAGAGTAGCCCGACCAGAAAGCCAGAGGCCAATGGGTCACAACATGAAAAACAGAGGCTTATACGAAAACACATTTAGAGAGAGAGAACAATTCAGATACCAAGAATTTCCCTTTCGGCAAAGCTACTATGTGCAGATAATCTACAAAAAGGAAAAACCTCCTACAATTTAAGAAATGCTTGGCCATGAACCAGCCATTTTATACACAGTAACAAAATCTCAAACCCCCTTTCGTATCTAACGATACCCAATAAATTTTTAGAGAGAGAAAATGGTTTTCCATTTCGAAAGCATCCAAATTCTCTGCAAAAAGAACCCAATTCAAAAAATTCAAGAGCCCACCTCAAAAAGAGGAAGCCCAACGTAATAAAAACACCGTAATTGTTAGGATTTTACGGCACAACGAACACCGTAACAAAAAAAATGGGAAAGAAGAATGGGGCTTTTCGTGTTATTATAAGGTGCGAAAGGATTACCGCATTTCGATTCCCGTAATAACCCATCAAAACTATTATGGTAAAAATAATACCGTAATAAAAAAAATTGCTTAAGGTACTCAAAGTACCGTAATGTAATTTTATTTTATTACGGTATTCAAAATACGGTAATACATTATCAAATTATAATGGTATTTTAATTACTGTAAAGGTCATAATATAATATATTACGGTAAATAGGCTACCATAAAGCTCAAAAACTGGAAAAAATGGTATTGATGAAGTTTTGTTTGAGGTTTTTTTTCCGATTTTTTAAAATATAGGTATATTAAAGATAATTTCTCCATTATTTAGTTCATATATTTTATATATATAAAGGTGCAATTTATATAGAGCCAAGGCTCTAGACAATCAAATTAGAACTCACCTTCAAATAGTATCGAGAAATGTAGTTTCAAAACTGGAAATCGGTGACTATCTTTTAGATATATTTTCATCTTTAACTATAAAATTTAAATCTTCAAAAACATAGTAGATCTAGCGGATCTATGAAAACTTGAATAACTTAAAATTGACGGTCCAAATACGTTACAAGATACATTATTTCCAAAACTTGTAATTCATTTTTTTTTCAAGCCCATGCATCTCGATGTTGAGATGATCAATTTGAGGATATTTGGGCGTCAAAACAACATTTTCTAGTGAAATTTTTGAGGTAGGCTCTAATTTGATTGTTTAAAGCCTAGGCTCTATATAAACTTTTCCCTTTATATATTTTATATATTTTGTATGAGATGGTGTCCGTAGGTCTAGCCCAACCCAACCCATGGTAATCCAAATCCGACCCGGGTCGGGTCCAAGTTGTTTTGACCCAAACCCGACTCGTTGAGTCCAAAACATGGACCCATACCCCAACCCTTTGTGGATTGCCCAAACCCGATTACCACCCCTATTAATCAACAAAAAGGTTGCAATAATACAATAGAATTTACTTTAAAAAATTTATTTCATTTATATATCATAATAGTCTACAAGTAAAAAATATATTATTAAAATTGAGATCTGGTTTATATTTTTTGATATAATTTATGCCAATGTTACAAACATCAAACCGGTTCTTTATTTTATTTTATTTTATTTTATGTTTGTGGGCCAATATGTTGCCTCCGATATTAGAGCAGCCCCATTTTCTAAAGCTAACTAATATTGGAAGCATTGGACAATCTTCTACATGATGAGTTTGAATGGGAGGTATGTTATTTTAAACAATGGGCCACTTTTGAAATCATAAAAAGTTTAGCTGGTCTGTTGCTTGAGACGACAGATCGACTTGATATTTTTATTATTATTAATGTAGACATCGAACCGGTAAACAATCCAAAAAAGTACGAAATATGGAGCTTTCTGTTGTTCCCCAAAAACCCGAAATATGGAGCGCTCTGATGTTCCCAAAAACCTAAAAAATAAAATTGCATTGGATGTAAACTAGAAAACAAATAAACATGAGAAAGGGACCTCTTTACGTACATTTTTTAATACTTTTGACTAAAACATAGTTCTAGCAACTAATACTAGTATGTACATAATTTATATATTTTTTATTTTTTAGGGTGAGGTTTGCATGAGCTGCCCTCTCTATACTATTAAACTAAGGAAAGTCGGGTGTGCTTCTAAATTCTGTCATAATATGTACTTCCTATATCAAAAACCTCACCATAGCTTTAAATTTAATGGCTAGGCTAATTATAATATTTAAATTTTCAAAAATAGTGTAAATCGATCAGATCTATAAAACACAGGAAAATATATGACATAGATAATTGGTTATAAGATCCATTTTTTTAAAGACTTAAAATTACTATTTTATTTATATCAATAGATCTTGAGGTAGAGATGATCGAATGAAAGGTTTTCCAATTTCAAAACACTATTTTCTATTGGATTTTTTGAGGAACACCTTACTTCTATAGTAAACTGTTGTAACCATATATAAACTTTTTCAGGTTTTAAAATATAGATACATATATTTAAAAAGGAAAAAGTTTATATAAGGTCTCAACCTTAAACCATATGGGTAAGGTGCACCTAAAAAACCCACTAGTGAAGTTTGTTTCAATGTTAAAAACCCTTAAATCGTTCATTACGACCACGAGATTCATAGACATTAAAAGATTTGGGATTTTCAGTCCTAAAAATTATTAATCTTCTAACATATTATCTGGACTGTTAATTTTTTAGATTTTCAAGTATTTATATATCGGCTTGATAGTCACTGTTGGAATCTCAAAATACTGCAGAAAACTCTTTGTACATTGATTGATTAAGAATATACAAGACCCAGTATAAATATACGGCCTACAGTTAAAAATAAATACCGACATTTGTTGATAAATACTAACTAATCTTATCAAGATATGTATATCCATACAGATACATATCTATACACTAATATATATCCATACTGATATAAATACATTCTAGCACCCTCAAACTCAATATGCTTTGAGAGACAAGCTGGAGTTTGAATGCTACGTTGTATAAACGAGGAGGATCTTCATATGCATAACTTAAGATTGCTTAATCAACAAGCGCAGCTAGATCTTTGACTCGGAGCTCAGATATGATCCAAGATAGATCAGCATGCAAAACATGACATGCTCGAGCAATGAAACAGAAAAACTCGACATCTTTACTGAAGACAGGCTCGAGCAATGAAATAAAAAAATTCGAGATTTTTACTAAAGACAGTTAAGCAATCAAGACAGCTGAGAAGCATAATGGCACTTGGAAGAGCCAACAAAACTCGGTAAGGATCTGAGATCGATTCAGCGGCTCGCATAATAGAATAGACATGATGGAGTAACATGAAAACATGCTTGATCATACAGAGAACATATGAGTCGAAACATGACTCACCAGAGAATAAGTGAATCGAAACACGACTCGCTAGAGAACAATTGACTCTAAACATGACTCGCTAAATAATAGATGAGTTGAAACACGACTCGCTAGATAACATATGAGTCAAAACACAACTTGAAATAAGGGTTGTTTTGCCGGAGCTGTTTTGCGGAGGCCATTTTCAAATGTATTTAGAGGGGGCTTCAAATCCAGCTCAACAAATGTCCAGCATTAAGGAGTTACCTGATGTAATGGACAATGGTTGACGGCTGAGAGATCATCACAAAGGTCTCTCTTTCTGAAGCGATCTCGATATTGCAACAAGAAGGTGGGCAGCAACCAAATCTCTCTCTCTCTCAACTGAGATCTTAACATGACAACAACTCTCTCTCTCCATTGTGATTTGTTTTTTTAGGGGTTTGGTTCAATTTTGCATAAAAAGCTAATGCAAAGCAAAGGATGGAGACAAAGTTGGTTCAAATGGGCGCAATAATTGTAGACCAAAGCATGGAGGCAAAGTTGTGACCTTGTGAGGTAATCAAACAAAGGTTTCCAGGAAGGATGCTATGATGGCTGCCCAATATTTTGCCATACGTAAACATAAATTTGAGGAACTACGGTTGGAACAAACTCATAGAAGACTTGCACGAACAAACAACTTCTCAACAAGGACTTCAAGATGCAAGTGGATGGTCTGAAGTTATTTTATAAGGCTATCGCAGCTTGATTGACAAACCTTTTTTTTTTTAGCACGGGTTGATTTGTGAAAAGTGGACGCAGATTTGCATGGAAGCAGATTTGGGACATAAGATTTTCCGACCTCAAACAACAGAGGGCACAAATCCGAGCCAATACAAGAGGGCGACACGAATCCGAGCCAA